CTCTCTCTCTCTCTCTCTCTCTCTCTCTCTCTCCCTCTCTCTCTCTCTCTCTCTGTGACGGACAGACTATAATTGGACAGGGAGTGTGTGGAGCTCAGGCCGGTCCACACTGCCGCCTGCTTGACGCCGCTTCCTGACGTCAGTGCATCTAAAAGAAGCAGGAGGGAGAAAAAACACAGAACCAGGACATGAACTTTTAGAACACACACACACACACACACAGAGAGAGAGAGAGAGAGAGAGAGAGAGGGAGGTTGTCCACAGTTCACTCCCAGCGGATGTATTCGAGGAAGGACAGTGGAACTGATATGATGTGACATCATTAATAATACATCATCACCCTGACCCCAGAGTGATTTCGAAGAACGGACCCACAGGCACATGAACGTGGACTGAGGAGATTAGACTAGATTAGATTAGGCTAGATTGGATTAGATTAGATTAGATTAGACTAGATTAGATTAGACTAGATTAGATTAGATTAGATTAGCTTGTATTAGATTAGATTAGATTAGATTAGGCTAGATTAGATTAGATTAGATTAGCTTGTATTAGATTAGATTAGATTAGATTAGTTTAGATTAGATTAGATTAGATTAGACTAGATTAGATTAGACTAGATTAGATTAGGCTAGATTGGATTAGATTAGATTAGATTAGGCTAGATTGGATTAGATTAGATTAGATTAGGCTAGATTAGATTAGATTAGATTAGACTAGATTAGATTAGGCTAGATTAGATTAGATAAGAAAACATGTATTAGCACTTAATGCCATAAGGATTAATAAAAAAAGAAGAAGTTCAGATAAATCCAAACTGTATTGTGTTCTATTTGGACCAAATAAGTACCGAGGATGTCTGGGTGTCACCAGGTCATATTCTGTGGCCCACATTTAGCTACTGGTTGACCTTATCTGGTCAATTATCTGGTAAATCTGTGGATATTATTATGTGTCTTCATTACGTAATTAAAGGTACATTATGTGGGATTTAGCAACAGTTATTAGTTACACATTTGATTGAATTTTAACACTAGGTTACGTCATGTTTTATAACCATACATCCTAAAGATGATCTATCTATCTATCTATCTATCTACATCTACATCTTGTTTTCTTGTGTAATTCTATATAATAAAATAACATTATATCCTCTACGTTTCGTCCCCACAGAGATAATAAACTGGTTATTCTAACTCAGCACATACGTCTGTGATTATTTACCCAGAGACAACACATGTTGGAGGGCAGTCGTGTGTTTACAGAAGATCCAGGAACAGACTGGAGGAGCAGCAGCAGCAGAGGCCCCTAGAGCCTCAGCACCACCA